GGATGCTCCACTGGGACGCCATATTATGCTTCTTATTTCTCCCTCTGTTGTTTCTGTCTATCTGCCCAAAAAGTTAGCCTTTCCCTGCTGCGCTTAATAGCTATTATTATGTCGACGTGCTTCTGTTTACTCGTGTCCTGCCTGTCTGTCTGCCTCACCCTTTCCCTGCATGCACTAAATAGTCATTATTATCTCGATGTGCTTCTCTTTTCTTGGGTTGGCGGGAGGGTGGAGGGCGCCACTGGTAGGTCCTATTTCTTTACTTTCCCTCTACTGTTGTCTCTGTCTGTCTGCCTGCCTGTCTTACTTTGCCTCAGCATTAATTAATGCCCGTTATTGCGTCGATGTGCTTGTTTACTCAAATAAACAAGCAATTAGTTGTGTTGTTTCTGTGTATGCGCCGTACCATTCTTGTATCAATGTGCTTCTCTTTACTCATCTAGTTTTAGTACGAGTTTTAGGTACCTGCTACTCAATAAGGTCATATAAGTGCCGAAGATTAGAAGAGTTATAAGAGAGTAACAAATACCCCCTCCCCCCCCCCAAAAAAAAAAAAGAAAAAAGAAAAAAATGTAGGAGAGATCAGGATGATAGGAAAGAAGGAGCAAACCACACAGAGTACCTGCCAACCACCCACTTCTCTTTACTCAAACGTTAACAAGTATTCTGATACCGTCCTTTGCTTTGACCCACCAACAGAGCTTGAGATTTAGTGGGTGGTTGGTGGGTGCTCTGGTGTGGTTTGCTTCTTCTTTCCTATCAAACATCTATCGTCCTTATCTCCCTCTCCGCTCATATGACCTCATGCAGTTGCGAGCGCCGTAAAATCTCTACTAAAACTAACTAAGAGCTTGAGGTTTGGTTCCAGGTATGGTGACCAGTATAAGTAGGCTAAGTGTTTCGAGGACTTTTCCACGTTGTGCAGGTGGTTGGGGGAGGGGGGTGCCAATGTTAGTGTTAGGTCCCACTTCTGTTCTTTCCTGCTGTTGTGTCTGTCTGTCTGGCTTGCTTTTTATTCTGTCGAAAAAAATAAATTGCCGTCATTCTGTCAGCCTGCGTTTCCTTATTCAAACAAATTCTCCCCATTCTTCATGTTGCTCCAAATGATCTGAACTGTGTCGATGTAAAACGATTACAATTACCATATGTTGCTGCAGAGTTACTTTTTTGTGCAAATTTTGAGTGTTATGACTGGATTGAGGGCAAGCGAGGCAGGGGAAGGCCCAGAACAACATACTAAGGGAACCTAAACAAATAGGTAACAGGGAAAGATCAGGGAAACATAGCTTTTTTGAGAGCATCCGAGCAAAGGAATGAATGGAGAACCATAATCGCCGATGTCTGTCGCAGATCTGGTACTGGATGATGATGATGACTGGATGTGTATTATAGCTGAAACAAGCCTGGCTCGTATATTTCTCGACCCTTGAAAAAGAACTTTTAAATAAAAATGAACTTTGTATCCAGTGATATTTCTATATGTATAAATTTTAATGTATCCATTCTGACTCTGTTTTGCGGGTAGTTGGAGGGAGCCACTGCGTAGGTTCTACTTCTTTTCTTAACCTCTATTATTACTGTCTGTCTCGTTTGTTTTGTCCCTGCTCTGAATGACAGTGAATGTGCCAATGGGCCTTTTTTTTCTGCTCAGAATCGGCCTGTATTTCAGGGCATTCTTTGGCTTCTTGATTTTTGTTAATGATGTTAAATATGATATAACCCCCCCCCAAAAAAAAACAAAACAAAAAAAAACAAACAACCCCACCCAAAAAACAACAAGAAACCCCAAAACAAAAAAAACGACCCCCAACAAAAAACAAACACCAATACATTCCGACCGTTTCTCTAGTGGTAAGAGGGAGCCACTAGTAGGTCCATTTTATTTTTCTCTCCCTCTGTTGTTTTTTTGTCTGTTTTACTTCTTTCTTGTTCTTAATGATCAGTATTGTGGTGATGTTCTTTTCTTTTTAATTGAAAAAAAACAAAACAAAAGAAAAAAGAAAAAAAATGACCCGACTTCCTTTGACCCCTAAAAAAACTGAGATTGTGGGTGGTTGGCGGGGTCTTTGGTGTGGTTTGCTCCTTCTTTCCTATCAAACATCTATCATCCTTATCTCTTCTCCTTCTTTTTTAGTAAGTGTTTGTTACTCTCTTGTAACACCTCTAATCTTTGGCAGTTGTGAGACCTAACTGTTGCATGGGTGGTTGGCGGGTGCTCTGGTGTGGTTTGCTTCTTCTTTCCTATCAAACATCTATAGTCTTGATCTCCCTTCCTTCTTTTTGTGTTTGTTACTCTCTTGTAACACCTCTAATCTTTGGCACTAAAATGACCTTATTGTGTTGCAAGTGCCGTAAAACTCTTACTGAAACTAAACTGTGTTGCAAGTGCCGCCAAACTCTTAGGACTGCCAAAACAAATTCAAATATGAATTTCTTTTTCTTCTGTTATCCCCAGGGGCATGACAGTGACCTCTGGTCATGTGGTCCTCAAGAAAGACACCCAGAACCTCATCGGCATCAGCATCGGTGGTGGCGCCCCCCTGTGTCCGTGCCTGTATGTGGTCCAGGTCTTCGACAACACGCCAGCGGCCAAGGAGGGCTCGCTGGCAGCTGGCGACGAGATCGTCGGGGTCAACGGGCAGTCGGTCAAGGGTCGCACCAAGGTGGAGGTCGCCAGGATGATACAGTCCATAAAGGTGAGGGAGAGAGGGAGAGGGAGGGATGGAGGAAGGCGTTTGTGCAGTCTTGCGTGTTTTTGTGGTTAAGGTTAAGTGCAACCCCACCTCCCCTCAGTGGAGTTGGTGGCCAAGTGGTTAGGCTACTGAACTCGTAATTGTGAGATTGCAGGTTCGGGGGTTCGAGCCTCAGCTCGGTCTGATGTTGTGTCCTTGGGAAAGGCACTCAATACAAATGACCCACTTGGCTCTGTCCTTTTGGAGATGGATGTTAAACTCGGAGGTCCCACCTCTTAAATCACCTAACCAACAGTGTTGATAGGGGCGTTTATTAACCTATACTATTTCACCATTTTTTCACCCCCCCTGCCCCCATGTCTGTGCACATCTTGATGATCATGGCTCACCGTTCTCTGTTCCTTTAAGAGATATCTGCAAACCACAGTGATCTTAGATAATAAGATCTGTGCACAAGGTCAGGCATGTCTGAAATAGGGAGGGAGGGGGCGGGGTAACTTTACTTTTCTGATTTCTATTCCCTCCTATTGAAGAAGTTAAAATAATGTATTAAAGCCTGTGGCGCACCCTTTAGTGTTATACTCCGAAGGACTGATTTCAATTCCTGAGTGGGAAAGTTATTTTATCAAGTATTCTAGTGTGTTTACTGGGATGCTGTATTTCACTCAACACATCGCACCCCAGCACTTTCTTGTCGTATCTCCACGTTTAATAACAGTGAAAACAGTCCATAACAAAGAGTGAGCTTTAGAAGATGTCACATTTTCACTGTTTTAAAAAATGGAGATACAACAAGAAAGCACTGAGGTCGCGAGATGTTGACCCTGACATGCAGAGTAGAAGCAGCCCACCTTCTAGATTATCTTACCTGTGTCTATTGAAGTGTAAAACATTTGCAGTATCTGAGTAACGTTTAGAGGATGCAGCTGGTGGGTCGTGTTTTCTTGCCATCAGTTAATTCATTTGACAATTCTGTGAGTAGAATGTATAATAGAATATTTCTGAAAGAAATCAGGCTTTCAAGGACATTGAATGATGGGAAAGACATGTTCATAAAGGCAATGTTTCTAGAAAATCCGTTAAATCTATTGTTAACTCTTTAGTAATTCAATCAATCTTCTTTCAGTTACTGATGAACCTAATTCAGAACATACCACTTTTTTCTTTTTGTACTGATTGAGTTATAATGATGAAAATTAGTGTATTGATCATGTGTGGGAAAAGAATTATTTACAATTTATGCTTGTTAAGATTTGTTTGTGGTTGCTAGCGTTCAGTGAGCATTCAGTGTAAACACTTTATCTTTACTGGCTCTATGATGTTCTGGTGGTTGGAGGCTGTCACTGATATGACCTTCTTTCACAATCTTTATTGTTACCTCAGCAGACCTGATAGTATTCTGAGACAATCTCAACAACTGTGAAGTATACAGTGCAAGCTGTCATTTTACAGGCACTACAAGACTTGCATACTGACAAGAAGATATGTAGCTTTCTATTGCTGGGTACCTATTCCTACCTGGGTGTAGCGAGGAAATTTCACATAAAGTGTCCTTCCCAAGGACGCAATGTTGGGCTAAGCTGATCCTTGGTACTCCTGAACCTGTAACCTGAAGACTACAAGTCAGGTAGTATTTCTATCGATTTGCTGGTCTTTGCTGGCTCTGTGACCCACTGGTTCTTGTCTGTGACTCACTGGTTCTTGTTTCTTTCACTACTGTTTGTTTGCAGGCTGAAGTTACAATCAACTACAACAAACTGCATGCTGACCCTAAACAAGGAAAATCTCTGGACATCAGTGAGTTATCATGTGTCTTTGTTGGGACTTCTACCTTGACCTTAAATAATTCCATTTACAATATGGGAGGCGGCATGGTGAAATCAGGCGTTCGTCAAAATAAACAGATCGGAGAAATAGGTATTTTCCGCCAGATTGGAAATTTTTATCGAATGAACCTCTTTTTAAGTCTTTTATGTCAATATAAAAACACATTTTCATGTGAATTTATACTTTAAAAACATTGATTAAAGGCCATACTGTGTCATTTTTCAGTTTTCAAAGACTCTTTAGCTATTGGAGTTATCAAACTTTGGCGGCCATTTTTTCGCTAATTTCACTATTGAAACCGGGTGACCCCACTTCCTTCAATCGCAAATATCTTAAGTTCTATTCAAGATAAATGGATATATTTATTTCTTTAGAAGCAAGGCAAATGAATCAGCTTTCAGATGATACCAATAACTCCACATCCCCCAAAATTGACAAGCGCCTGATTCCACCGCATCGTTACTCATATTGTTACTTTCATATTGTTCTTAGCTTGAGGAGAAGAAGGTTACGGTTATTCAGATTTGGCATGTTGTCTGAAACCAGAGATCAAATTCTTTTGAAATTACATCTTTTTTAACTTCTCCTGTATAAAAATAATGATGATCAAATAAAGAATGAAAATTGTCATCTTTTCTTGCAATACTAATGACACTAGAAAGTTCAGCATTCTTATTAGTTTTTCCTCAGCTTCTTTGTAGACTCTTTGCAAGCATTTCCCCCTGATTGCTGAAGCCTTGTTTGCTTCTCTATCCCAAGCACCAGTCTGATTCAGGCATTTGTAATCATATAATATAATAGTATTGAGGTAAAAATTTACACTGAGTAATGAAGATTGGCTTACAGTAAGACTGCCATTTCAACTCATTTGATTTGAGAAATGGTCTATATAGTGTCATATGTTGTACAATTAATATGTTCGGATATTTGTTGCATAAAACAGTTTTCTGACGTTTTTTCTTTTTTTGATCCAGCCTGTTATATCTGAATAATGTCTTTGAAATGAGCTTTGAATTTCCATTTCATTTGTCATCTTACAGAGTAATGTGTAGAATAGAAATTATGCTCATTCTTCATAGTTTTAGAATTTAGGATCTTCTTATTCTTTTTCTTTTGCTTTTACGATAGCTTATTTCGCATATACCTTGCTGTCATGAGAATGTGCCTGATACCTTCTAAATTTGTACCTATTTTCCTCCTCCAGTTTTGAAAAAAGTGAAGCACAGAGTGGTGGAAAATATGAACTCCAACACAGCAGATGCCTTGGGCCTCAGCAGAGCAATCCTGTGTAATGGTATGTAGCTGGAGGGGAAAATGTGGTGATAAATCATTACGTTTATATATATAGCATATACCCATTCTATACAGCATGCTCTATGTCCTTTACAATTATTATCACCCCAGCAGACCCTAGGACATTCAGAGAGATTCTTGGTAGGTGGTTGGCGGGTGCTCAGGTATGGTTTGCTCCTTCTTTCCTATCAAACATCTATCGTCCTTATCTCCCCTCCTTTTTTTGTGTTTGTTGCTCTCTTGTAACACCTCTAATCTTCGGCACTTATATGACCTTATTGTGTTGCAAGTTCCGTAAAACTCTTACGAAAACTAAAAAGAAAGATTCTTGGGTTCATGGGAAGCATAATATAGTGCAAGTGGCCGATTAAGCACTCAAACACTAACAGACTGACAAGATCTTTCGCTGTCAAAAGCCGGGGACCCATTCCTACCTGGGTGAAGCAAGGAAATTTCATATAATGTGCCTTTCCGAAAGACACAAAGTAGGGCCCCTTTTGGTTGAGCACTAGACCACCGACGCTGCTAATGTGTGCTTTGACACTCTTTGCTAAAGGTTTTGTTCCTGTCATTGTTTGAGTACAAAGAGAGGGAGGATTGGTTGGTGGTGGACATTCTGGTTTGATCAGTTCCTTCTGCTCGTCATGATTGCGACTGTTCTGCAGTACGCTGACGAAACGCCTTTTTCTTATTCACAGCAGTTTCGAGTTAAAAAGGGGTTTTGTCAACGTAACCCTTTAAAAAAGGCGTTCTTGTGAAATTTGAATACCAATTTATAGAAAAAAACTAGTCGCAGTTTCACTGTGATTTTTTTTCGCACAAAAAGATAATGCGTAAAATATGTAATCTGATGGTGTAAGTTTAGTGTCCCTGACTTGGTTTAGCAAAAGTTGGCAAGCCTGAAATAGTCTCTGAACTATAACATGTATTCTTTATATTTTACAGATGGTTTGCTGAAAAAACTGGAGGAAATGGAGCGAACAGCCAATATGTACGGAGGACTGATTGTGCAAACTCGGAAACTTTTGAAAGCGATATTTGATTTGTCTCAGTCTCACAAAGGTAAGGAGCACCGGGACCCTTTTCTTCTTTTATTTTCTTAACCTCTTCACTGCTATGTTGATGTTAGTACTCTCCCAAACGGGTTCTCTGACATTTTCCCTACCGATTAATGGGGGGGAGGGTTTACGAGATATAGTTATAGCTTGCACAGTTGTTCATTCATAGATTTTTTACTAATGCCAAAGAATTTATGGTTTTGTTTGAATCTCTCTTGAATGAACATCTTTACCTTGTATTTACAAACGTAGATCTCAGCAATGGACTTTGTATCGTTCATGTGAATTCGTTCATCATGAAATATGTATAAATTTTTTTCATATACAGTAAAATGTTGATGTAATGTACATGGCTTAAAATGTACTTTTGGCTGTAATATTCACTTCTGAAGCTCCAACAATTCCTATTTAATTAATATTTGTACTCTTTTTGGCTAATGTATACCTCGGCTAAGACGTTAAAATTCTTGGGTATGAAGGGAGTATGAGTATGTTACACTGAGATTTTACTGTATGTCTCCTATGACTTTGTATTGTATATTTCCATAAAAATGCCTTATTTGTAATAACTAGGTGCTGATTGTGGCTGTTACAAAAAAACAAAAACAAAACATTTTTCAAAATGAGTCTCTCTTCAATTTTTTTTCTCACCCTGTAAATTATGATCAAGTGGAGTTCAATCATTTTTGTTTTTACAGTGATAAAATGTGGCATATATCATATCATCAGTTTCACTTTTTAAAAAAATGTGATCTGCTGCATCTTTTCTTAGATACCTGTTCTTAAAGATGGAATTGTCTGTTTTGCTGCTTTTAATATGTATACCATTTTTTCCTGAAGTTTTCAGAATTCTGAAAAGTAGAAATTGTTCTTTCTTTTTATTTCCCCATACCTTACTATCATTTCTTTTCCGATTTATCTTGTTCATGCCAAGCTATCTCTGAATACAGCTGGACACAGATAACACAAACACGGAAAACTGGAAATCATAGATAGCTCATACTCTTTGCCATTCTCCGACTGATATCTCTTTAATTTTTAAAAAATCAGTTAACCCGAATAATGGACATGTGGAACACGATTGTCCTTCGCCAAAATGCTATTGTTATCCCGGCCCCTATTTTTGATTCTATTAGTTTGTATCTGATACAAATATTCCCCTTATTCTTTTTACAGTTATTCCGGCCAGACTGTATATTGAATATTGATACGATTATTTAATTTTGTATCTGATACAAGTATTACACTTCAGCTTTTGGAGAGGTGTTTTCGGGTATTGGTGTGAGGGAGCCCCAGCCTGCCGCCAGTGAAGCCTTCTCTCAGTTCGGAGAAGCCCATCGGAACATGGAGAAGTTTGCCATCAAGATGCTGAAGACTGTAAAGCCCATGATCAGCGATCTGAACACGTTTTTGCACAAAGCAGTACCGGACACGAGGCTGACAGTGAAAAAATACTTAGATGCCAAGTTTGAGTATTTGGTAAGCTACACACCCTGTTTTGAGGAGTTTGGTATTATTTGTTTTGAACGCGGAAAATGCACTGACCAGACCATCAATGATTTATTTATAGAGGCACCAGCCATCTATGTCCAGGTGCTGTTTTAGCCTATAATGCACTGAATGGTCTCTGTAAAACACAGTTTCCCTTGGTCTTCTTTTTGTTGGTATTTGTAAGAAAGAAGGTGTGAATAAGCAGTGATTGTTATGTCGATATTGATTCTATTAATTGTTTATGTCTTTGTGTGTTATTTCAAATTTTGGTGCGGAAAAATAATTGTAAAGGTGTTGGAAGGATTGACAAGGAAATTTGGAATGTCAGAAGGATTGACTTTGGAATGTTGAATGTTACAGCTTTGAAGTTTTATGTTAAAGGAATAGATCCAAACTTTTCTTTTTCCTTTCCAGTCGTACTGTTTGAAAGTGAAAGAAATGGATGATGAGGAGTACAGCTATGCTGCGTTGCAGGAGCCGTTGTACAGAGTGGAGACTGGCAATTATGAGTACAGGTAAGAGATGGATTCTGTTTAGGTTGCCTTTTCTTTGTTGTTTGTAAAAGCCACTGATAAAAGGAGTGGTGCCTTGCCATGAACTCTTGGTGTCTAACGCTTTGCCCCCCCACAAGACATCGATCGGCGATGGTAAGAAGCCGTTCCTGTTCCCCACGGGATCCTGATTGGCGACAGTGTACTTGCAACAAAAATACTGTAGCAATGATTTCTCTTTAGACATGCATACTTGTTTAAGGTATAATTTTCTTTCTGAAATGGTTTGTGTGGCCTTTGAGCGCAAAAATCAGTTTGTTTACTATTGGAGTGAATTAAAAAAAAAAAATGATGAGTAGACCTAGCATGAGTGCTACTTTACATTGATGCCTTGACGAAGATTCGGATGATGAATGTGTCAGATCTAATGGTTTTAGTTCTGATTCTAATTCCTGTTTAGATGAACATGCGATTGTCCCCTTCAATTTTATCAAGGTGTTGAAAATTTCATACGGATCAGGGTATTTTCATCGAGACACAGGGGGGCTCTCGTGGCCTAGAGGATAAAGTGTTGGCCTCTCATTCAAAGGTCATGGGTTCGAATCTGGGTAGCGACCGAAAAATTTTCTTCTCTAAAATTGTCTCCTTTCACCTCCTTTCCTGCTCTCTAGCAATGTTCTGTTGTCTGCTTTCATTTCCACTTTCTGCCCCCACCCCCTCACCTCCTTTTCCCCTTCCTCTAGGCTCCTGACTCTTTCTGCAGCCTTTCTACTGCTACTCTTTGGCTCCTCCTTACTGCTGTCTTTCTGCTACACCCCTGATCTTCTGGTAGGAAAGATCTATACCTAGCCTTCTCGGACAAGGGCGAAAAATCTCGGAGGGCCCGTGTGCAAGTTGCGCACGTTAAAGATCCCTTGGTGGTCTAAAATCGATAAGAGTAGGCTTCGGCCGCCTCCCGGGCAAAATTCGAAAATTTCCTACCAACTGAAAATATTAGGTGTGTCCCGCGCGCCCATATGACCTCATGCAGTTGCGAGCGCCGTAAAACACTTACCCCAAAAAAATTACTTTAAAAAATCGAGACACCAGAATAGTACTGATGTACCCGTTCTGCATCCTGGTACGTGGGGACAGAAGTTATGCTCATTGTGCACTGGGTGGGTGGAAAGCGGTTACTTGGTTACTTGATTGGGGAATAGGTAGGTATCATGGCAGGCGGTACAATGTCATAGGTGCTCCTCCCTCCTCTCCAGGATCCACAAAAGGGTTGGCTTCCTGAAAGGGTGAAAAATGTTAACCCTCCAAGTGTCACTAACAAATAACCTGTTGTATCAGGGGATGTTTTATGGTTTCACAATAGTATGGTTGAAAATGCTTGAGAACAGGCAAAGCAAGTGAAGGCCACAGACCTATATACTTTTTAAAAAAGTAGGATGTACATAGAAAGTAGAGCTCATTTGTGAAGGAGTTAACCTGTTCAGCGACCTCCCCCCCCCCCCCCCCCAACCCCACCCCGAGATAAACGAGCTGAAATACTGACTCAAATTGCGACTGATTTATTTAGCTGTTGACACATTGGTATGTGGAAATGTCATTCAAAAATTTGAAAATGGCCTTTCTGTTAAACTTTCTCCAATGCCTTCTTCAGTAAATAATCAACAGAAAAAGTATTTATTGGTACAAGTTTACGGTGGCAGGTCCTGAGATAAGCTGCTATTCTGGTACATCACAGTTGGTTGCAGCAATTCTGATGAAGTGTGTTTAAACTCGGTGGGCAGTTTTAATTCCATTTTCACAACTTTGAATAGTTATACATCCAGTAACGTTTTTTGGGTTTTTTTCATTGTAGAATAAGTTGAATCATGGAAGTCGTGAGATTAATACGTTTTGACTTCTATTTTAATATGTAATATTTTTTCTTCTAGGTATTCCCATCATGCTAGTCTTTCTAGGTTTGGCTCTCATACACAAAAAAGCAATGTTGGAAGAGGAAATGACACAAAGCCCAAAAAGTATATTAGAAATATTCCCTTTAAGGATCAATAAAAGTTTGGATTAAAAAAAAGCTGCAGCTCATCATTTTGTCAAACAGGTTGTTAATATCTATAAAGTTGGAATAAAAATGTTTAAGAAAGGGACCCATATCTAAAGAAATCTTCTCTTTCCCTGTTTCACATCCCTAGGCTGGTCTTGAGATGTCGGCAGGAGGCCCGCACAAGGTTTGCGAAGATGAGATCCGACGTCCTGGTCAAAATGGAGCTGTTGGATCAGAAGCACGGTAATTGTTGTCTCAGTCATAATACAATAGCTAAAGTAATTTCTGTTGTAGCTTTGAGAAAGACCTAAACAGTTGATGCCCATCTGATTTGACCCTTTTGACGGGAGTAAAAGTGAACATGTTACAATTATTGAATTGTTAGTGCACAAGATAAAATCCTGCTTCTTTTTTGCACTTACCAGTTGGCCACTGGAAGTAACCCCTTCCCCCCCCCCCCGTTCAGGAGTAATACTTATCATAAGACATAGCAATCCTCTTTTATGAATTATAAATACATGCTTTCCACAACAAAAAAAACAACAACTGAGGTGTATTAGACTTTTATTTTGAAATTTTCAAATGGTTAGTATACTAAATCAGTGAGGCCATACGGTTTATTCTTTCTCCTGCTCTTTTCCCTGTGTGAGCTCCATGAGCTTGGTGCCTAAGGTTTAGGACATAACGTCAACTCAGTTGGTTTCATTCTAGACTGCAGAACGGAAGGCCCTGGTTCAAATGCCCAGTTTAGCGTTCTGAGCTTGGATTGTTTTGGGGAGTTTTAAAGGCTCTCCACCCAATAATATTCACAGTAAAGTAATCTGTGTCAAGATCTGATCTTTTTGTTGGGTGGTTGGTGGGTGCTCTGGTGTGGTTTGCTCCTTCTTTCTTATCAAATATCTATCGCCTTTTATTTTTCTCCTTCTTTTCTTTGTATGTTACTCTCCAGTAATATCTCTGAACTTCGGCACTTCTATGACATTTTTGTGTCGTAAATGTAGTAGAACTCTTACTAAAACGTAACCCCCCCCCCTAAACCCCAACTCAATCAAACAAGCAGGACCTTATGACGATCATTACAGTAAAATGGCTGGCGTTGAGATCAAACCCTTTTTTGTTTGTTTTGTTTTTCAGTCCAAGACATCGTGTTCCAGCTGCAGAAGTTTGTGACGGCCATGGCCAAGTACCACACGGACTGCCACAACGTCATGAAGACGGCGGTCGTCTTCCCCATCGAAGTAGACCTGTCCAGAGGCACCTTCACCTATGACACGGCCAACAATTTCAATGACGGGGAGGACGACGACGACGAAGAAGACGATGACGATGAGATGATTGGACAAGAATTGGGTGCTCAAGGCGATAACATTCTCACGGGAGACTTATTAAATTAGAATATGAAATTACCTAGATACTGCAGTTGAATCGGGTTTTGATGACGACTTGTATTTGATGATAGTATTTTAAATTTGAAGGTGAGGTCTGAATTTTTTTTGTCACTAATGCCTACCCTCAACATCAGACCAGAACCACTCGTTGTATGATGTTTCAGGATTCTCCCTTTCTCTTGTGATAGTGTGGAATGATTGCTGTATGTAGTTTGACCGAGAGTGACTTTTTGTTTACTGTATGTTGATTGTATGGTCCATACATTGCAAGTTTGGGGTTTTTGCTTCTAAAAGTTTGTAACACTTCTATAATGTAGGAGTTTTGGCCTACACAGTCCGTCGTTTTCTGGAAGAGATGTTGTAATGTGATGTATTTATTGTTCTCTCAAGCTGTTTATGTATTTAAAATTGGTAAGCATACTGATACTCAGTATCAACTGCATGGCCTGTTGCAATCTCATTGTCCTTTCCACAAGTCTTAGATGTTTTGATTTGATTTTCAGGAAGTTTTCTTTAGCAAGATCTGAAGAGTCTGCTGAGTTGTAAAATGTGTGACTGGTGACATGATCTGTAGTTGTTCAATGCTGTCCCATTCAAGGGATTATCCTCGTTTGCTTTTATTTTGCATAATCTTTGAAATGCAACAGGAATGTAAGAATGTCTGTGTGTCACATTTTGTTTCATCACGAAGTGCATAAGTACTGATGTATAAAGAATATACACTTTTTTTTTGGTTGGAAATATGTTTTTATTGTATCCATCAATTTAACTGGTTGTGCGTGAGTATACATGTGGTGGAAAACAGAATAGGCATTATGTAATGATTTACAATGTGTTACGTTAGAGTCTTTTGATTTATGACGGGCACAGATAACATGAATACGCAAACTTCGATATCACTGATAGCCGGTACAATAGGCCATTTCCCAAACTGAAATGCTATATTTTCTTTGTATTGGCAACACTGTTTTCTCAAACACCTGAAAGGATTTGTCGAACAGCTCGTCTCAAAATGCTTCATCACATTTTCCGTACAAATTGTCTGGAATTTAAATTGCCGTGCATTCATGATGGAAAATAACACACCCATCATCGTCAGGAGTATCGGGTTACTAGGCTCGTTCCCGCACAGTGCTGGTATCGAGATTCCTCATCACACATTACCTGTGGTATGCATTAAGGGACTAGAACTAACGTGAATCTAGTGCTGTGAAGGGGAAATTTGGGTGGTGGGGTATGATCGAAGGTAGACAATGTGGCAAGGTATGATCGAAGGTAGACAATGTGGCAAGCGTTGGGCTGTCTGGTGTGTGAATTACTAGAGGGGTGGGGGGCTTGCTTTGACCAGTGCTGATTATATCGTTATGATCATTGATTGTGATCTAATGTAAGAGTAAGAGCAGTTTTATATAAGTCGTTGGGCTAATCAGCAGTGTGCTATTCAATTCTCTTGCTGCGACACCGAGCAAGGAGCAGATACGATCCATCTCTCTACACTTTAATCGATACCTGATACTTTTCGTGATGGCAGAGAAAGGCATACTTAATTGTCTGAGTCTGACAATAGAAGCCAAGTGTCAGATTGTAGCAGAGGTGGACAAGAAGTCCTGCACTAAGGTGGACATTTGTAAGGGATTTTATATCCCAAATCGACATTTTCCATGTTTCTAAAAAATCTAATTGGAAACGCCCGCATTGGATGTCAACCTGATGGAAAGCAAGTGTACTTGTTTTAACCCAATGGACCCGAGCGTGCGCGTTTTTTACCCTTCTACGCACAGAATGCTCTTCAGAGATTTCTGTTTGAATCAAAAGTATGTGTTTTGTGAATTATTTCTTCTTTTTTTTAATTTCAAAATTTAAAAAGTCCATTCTCTGCATTCCAGTATCGGCAAGAAAAGGGAGATTGGTTCAGAATGTCTTGCAATTTTTTTTTGGTCAGTTCTTCTGACATTCCTTTTAGATCTGTGATGTGAAGCTGTGACATTTTTGTGTTTATAGGCTCACTTGGTTGTGTTCATTTGAGTAGAATATCATGGACTGAATCTTTTTTGCTCTTTCTTTTTGCCAAATAAGTGGAGAGTATAATAGTTTGATGATGTCTCTTGTCACTTTTGATTCTCCTTTTATTTCCTTTAAAGTCAATGTTTTTTCGTAGCCGATGGTTTTGCCTTGCTACCAACAGCACCTGTGCTGAGATAGTTTTCTTCTTCCAATCTCATTTTATTTGTTTTATTGTAATATTACTTACATATTATTTACCCATCGAGTACATATTATGTTTTTTCGTTAACCATTTTGTTAATTAATTTAGGACTTGAGAACTTTTTTGCATACAGTATCCTCAGTTTTAGATTGTACTATGGAAATTGATTTTTTCCTTCGACATGCAAAAGAATTTGATATGTGAATTCCATTTTCTATTTTAGTCTTTGAGACCTAACAGTGGACATGTTTTTTTACAACCTGAAATAAATAACATTCCCAATCTAAAACAAACACCATTTTGTTCTCATCAGCTACAAGTCATAAGTTTTATTTTGCTGTGGAAGTAATGATGTACAACATGTTTTTAATCAAAGGTTTGTTGTATGGTAATGAAATGACTGCAGAAGGGAAATGTTTTTCTCATGAACTTGAGGTGAAAGTTGATTCGTATCCACTAATGATATATGATTATGTTCATTCCATTGATTATAGTTGAGAGTGTGATCTTTAATTTATTGATCTATTTTAATCAATACATGTGCAATAAAGGTTATGTGATGATTAAGAGTTGGTTGTGTTCTCTCTGTTTATTGCTATGTCCAGGGACATGCTTTGGCTTAATAAAAAAAAAGATTATTCAAGACCAGTGTAAAGCTAACTTTATTGCATGAGGGTCATTTTTCTGCCGGTGAGTGATTGAAATTTGGACTGACTGTATGGTAAGGCTATAAGCTATTATAATCATCATCAGTATCAAATGCCATAATAACTGCAGCAGGCATCGACGATCATGGTTCTCCAATCATTTCTTTGCTCAGATGCTCATAAAAAAAAAGCTAAATTACCCTTATATCTTTCCCCGTTACCCATCTGTTTAGGTTCTCCAAGTAGGTTGCTCTGGGCCTACCACTGCCTCGTTGGCCTCCAATTTTGCCAGTGAGAGCTAGATGTTGGGGACCTTTACGTCTGTTCAGCATGTTAATACTGTTATAAAGACGATGTATTTCACCTCGAGCCTTTCATTGAAAATTTAAAAAAAAGCAAATGAGAAACCACTAAAGGTCCAAAAGACGCATAACTTGTAGGCTGAAGTCTTGCTGAATTTGAAGTTCAAAAAAGATTTCCACCTTACTGACAGCCTTTGACCTTACTACAACTGTGGTGGATAACAACAGTCCCACGTGATTCGAAAGACAATTAATGTGGGTGGCTGGCAGGTGCTATGGTGTGGTTTGCTCCTTCTTTCCTATCAAACAACTATCATCTTTATCTCTCCTCCTTTCTTTGTTTATTACTCTCTTGTAACACTTCTAATATTTGACACTTATTTGACCTAATTGTGTTGCAAGTTCTTTAAAATGCTTACTAAATTTCTAAAAGCGAAATAGTCCTTTACCCTGATGCACTTTTTAATGTCCTAACTGCCCTATTCTTCTTACAGAGGATGAGTCCTTCCAATATAAGGCTTGCCAGCCACCTTGTGTGCTGTTTGCTCCTGGGTTGTCTGTCTGTCTGTCCCTCTGGTTGTCTGTCTGTCTGTCTTGTCTATAGGCTGCTGTTATTTCTATACACAGGACGTTTTGGCGGTTGTTTTTTTGTTGTTGAGCACAAAGCAGAAAAAAAAATTGAGATTTATTGACTCTTAACACAGCACTTTAAAAAATCATTACATACCGGCTAATGAGGTGTGGTGGTTAAGCGCTTCACTGTCGCATGCAGCAAGACACCCGAGTTCAAATCCGGTCATGAGGGTAGTTGGCGGGTGCTCTGGTGTGGTTTGCTCCTTGAAACTCCTTCTTTCTTATCAAACATCTATTGTCCTTATGCAGTTGCGAGCGCCGTTAAACTTTTACTAAAACTAACTAACGAATCCGGTCATCAGTTTTGTCTTCAGATATTCCTTGATGATTGATGATTGTGGTGCTGTGGTTTTTTTTAAAGAGTATGCCCGATGGCCCAGCTCCTCCGACTTCAGCTCTCTATCCTCATTGCCCTGAGAGCTGATCTCGAGGAACCTGTCCTCTGTAACTTACAACAACAAAAAACGGCAATAAAAGTCGCCATTTTATTGGAGAGTCCACACTACTTCACGGGCTCGTTTTCTCGATATTTGGGGATTGGTGCAGGGTTATTCTAAAGGGGGGAGAGAGCGAGAGTGAGAGCGAGAGTGAGAGCGAGAGCGAGAGAGAGAGAGAGAGAGAGAGAGAGAGAGAGAGAGATATTGTGTGTGTGTGTGTGTGTGTGTGTGTGTGTGTGTGTGTGTGTGTGTGTGT